ACATTACTTAGGAGCATGTACAATATATAGCAATTGATATTGCATTTAAATTTTTGCAGATTAAAGTTGATTGGAAAGCATGAATTTGAAAGAGAGCTCCACAAGCAAGAAGTGTGAGAAAAGGAACTTAGCCTATATGGCTGGTGCACCGGACCATATGTGAAAGCAATATTCTAAGCATTGATGAATGGTAGACTGATAGGTATGCAAGATAGACAATTTTTCCCCTCCAGAATCTAACACAACAGAATGAACCAACTTTCTTAGCAGCAGACCTAACAATGGATTCAATATAATTTTTCCACTTCATCTTATCCAAGAATGTTAGACAGAGATGGAGCAATGGGTACCTCTGTTGGAGGTTAGCATCAGCCATGCTGAATGAAGGAGAAAGGGGTCTCTCAGGGGATTAATAGAGTGTAGTTTAGTTTAGGTAGTGTTGATATATACACACACACACACACTCATATGTGTTTGGGTAGTAATCACGCTTTTATACAAGTTTCATTAAAGATGACTGACAAGGTACTATGTTTAAGCATTTAGTTTAATTTTTCTTGTTTTCATATGATTTTTTTTTCTTCTGGACATAAGGTGTGTAAAAATTGTAAAAAAAAAAAAGTATTTGGACAATTTTTACTCACCTTGTATCCAGTAAAGAAGGTTCATACAGACACAAGAATAAACAAAAAAAGCTTAAACATTAGATATATATATATATATATATATATATATATATATATATATATATATATATATATATATTAGTTTCCTTCAATAAAAATGAAAAGGTACTATATATATATATATATATATTTATTAGTTTCCTTCAATAAAAATGAAAAATATATATATATATATATATATATATATATATATATATATATACACACACACACAGTGACTGCATATGAGTGGGTGGTATTAAAATTCTCTGGTGAATCCAGGAGCCAGACTCCCACTATATTCTGTTGTTTGAAGGGAACTAATTCAGCCTGTTAACTTTTCAGCACCACTCCTTTTTGTGGGTGTGTGGATTAAAGCCTTGGGTTGTGAATTTGTTGACATCGTAATTGTGAGTTCAATCCTTGACTTGGATTCTAAGTGGAAATGTGACAAGCAATAATAACTGGCCTGTAGTAAAATAAGAACTATCCTTGTCATATTTTTTTTTATTTATTTTTTTTATTTTTTTTTTATTTGCTTTGTTTGGTTGGTTGGTTGTTTTTTGTTTCTTTCTTTTCTTTTATTTTTTTCCTTTTTTTTCCTTCTTTTCTTTTTTTCCTTTTTTTCCTCTTTTTTCTTTCTTTTTCCTCTTTTTTCTTTCTTTTTCCTCTTTTTTCTTTCTTTTTCCTCTTTTTTTCCCTCTTTTTCCTCTTTTTTTCCCTCTTTTTCTTTTTTCTTTTTCCTCTTTTTCCTCTTTTTTCTTTTTTCTTTTTTTTTTTTTTTTCTTTTTTGTTCCTTTTTTTTCTTTTTTTTCTCTTTTTTCTTTTTTGTTCCTCTTTTTCTTTCTTTTTTGTTCCTCTTTTTCTTTCTTTTTTGTTCCTCTTTTTCTTTCTTTTTTGTTCCTCTTTTTCTTTCTTTTTTGTTCCTCTTTTTTCTTTTTTTTCTTTTTCTTTTTTTCCCTTCTTTTTCTTTTTTTTTCCTCTTTTTTTTTTATTTTTTTTCCTTGTTTTTTCTTTTTTTTTTTTTTGAAATTCCTTTGTTTTTTTGTTTTTTTCCCCCTTTTTTTGTTCTTTTGTTTTTCTTTTTTTTTATTTTCCTTCTTTTGGATTTTTTTTTTTCTCCCCACGCCATTTATTTTTTTATATTTTGTGTTTTTTGCTTTTCCTTTTTAGTTTTGCCATTTTTTTTTTCTTTTTCTTCTTTAGGTGTTTGTTTTTCCCTTTTCTTCTCATTCTTCTGGGATTTTTTGATTTGTTTTCCTTTTTTATCTTTTTCTTTTTTTTGTTTATCCTTTTCTTTTTCTCTCTCCCCCACCCTTATTCATTTTCCCCATCTTTTGGGGTTTTTTTTCTCTGTTTATTTTGCTTTCTCTTTTCCTGTTTTTTTTATTGTGGGGAGAAGAGGTATTTCACATTGTGGTTTGTTCTTTCTTTTTTTTTTTTTTTTTTTTTTTTGTTTTTTTTGAGCCCACCTCCCTGTGAATCTTTCTTTACCATTTTTAGTTCCTTTAATGTTTGACTTATTAAATTTTTTCTTTCTTTTTTTTCTTCTTTGCTTTCTTTTTTTTTTGTAATTACTACATCAGAAAGATAAGAGTTTGCTTAAAAACAAAAACTTGTACTTCTTATAGAATCTGTATAACAGAAAAACAATATTTTTTTTCTTTTTTATAATGTTAAATATTTCCAACAGATTCACTACAATGAACATCGAAAATAATAATAATAATGAAAAAAATAAAAATGAAGATCATACATTTTTAATTATCTGAAAATGTTATTAAAAAAAAAAAGAATTTAAATTAAGATTCTGGGTTAGATATTTTAAAAAATCCTCGCTAAAATAAAGGAAAATTGCACTCTATACTTTATGGGAAAAATATACTTTAAAATTTAAACTTTATACTTTAAAATTGAAAATTATAGGAACATGTACAAAAAGTACGGAGTTAAATAAGTAAAGTCTTTTGGGTAAAAAAAAAAATAGAATACAATTAGTATCAAAACAAAGTAAATTTCTCTTCAATGTTATGAGGGTTGGTTGATAATAGTTAAAAAAAAGAAAATGGATATTTTCTTTTTCTCTTTTCTTTGTCTAACTTTTTCATTCTTTCTCTCTCTTTTCCTTCATTTCTTTTCTCTCACTCTCTCTCCCTCTTCTTCATCTCTACTCTCCCTCTTCTTCATCTCTACTCTCTTTCCTTCATCTCTACTCTCTTTTCTTCATCTCTTCTCTCTTTTCTTTCATCTCTTCTCTCTCTTTTCTTTCATCTCTTCTCTCTCTTTTCTTCATCTCTTCTCTCTCTTTTCTTTCATCTCTTCTCTCTCTTTTCTTTCATCTCTTCTCTCTCTCTCTCTCTCCTTTCATCTCTTCTCTCTCTCTCTCCCTTTCATCTCTTCTCTCTCTCTCTCTCCTTTCATCTCTTCTCTCTCTCTCTTTCCTTTCATCTCTTCTCTCTCTCTCTTTTTTTTTCTCTTCTCTCTCTCTTTTCCTTTCATCTCTTCTTTCTCTCTTTCCTTTTCATCTCTTCTCTCTTTTTTTTCTTTCTCTTCTCTTCTCTTCATCCCTCTTCTCTCTTTCTTCTTTCTCTTCTCTCTTCAATCTCTCTTCTCTCTTTTTCTTTTTTTTTTTTTCAAAAATTCTCTCTCTTTTCTTTCCTATTCTTTCTCTCTTTCTTTCCTTTCATCTCTTCTCTCTTTTCTTTCTCTCTTTTCTCTCTCTTTTCATCTCCTTTCATCTCTTTCTTTCCTTTCATCTCTTCTCTCTCTCTTTTTCCTTCATCTCTTCTCTCTCTCTTTTTTTTCTCTCTTTTTTAATCTCTTTTCTTCTCTTCTCTTCAAAATAATTTTGGCTATTATTCGTGTCAAGAATTAAACGTGAATAGTTTATATAATCAAATTGGATGAACAGCTATTTTGTGCATTTGCTTAGAAACCATAACACATAAATAAACTTATGTTTAACTCCATATTTCAACCCCCTACCATTTTACCCACTGAGCCAATACATAGAATTCTACTTCAATGCATTCACCTCTTTTCTATTTGATATATTCTCAACTCAGGAAGGTTAAATGTTCATTCTTGTTTCTGAATAGAACTTTAAAGCCTTTTGACATTTAACTGTATTAAAAAAAAGCTTTTTTTATCTATGCTCTTTACTCATGTTAGAGATAGTGAAAAGCCCTCCACCTATAGTGTGTCTTCCTTGCTAGAATTTTCTGTAAATCCTTCTGTTCCTGCAGACTTTTTTCCCCTGAAAACTTTCCCCCCCACCCACAATCCCCTCAATTCTAGTTTATTGTCTTGCCTGCCCATTTTTCTTCAGTTTTGTCCACCCTTGTCTTCAACAGGCCTGCTTTACATCTGGGCTCTACCCTGTCACACCCATTGTCTGATTTAATCTTCAGTCTTTTAATTATTGTAATTTTTTTTTTTTTTTTTTAAATTTATTATTGTGAATGTGAATGATGTATATATAAAAAAATTTTAAAAAATTCCAGTTTTTTTCTGCAGTCCTCCCCCACCCCCAAAGAAAATGGAAGTTTCAACAAAATTTTGTGCTTTTTAAATGAAGAATAAAATTTGAATTCATGTCTTAACTAAAGAAGTGAAATTATAATTCCTCTCTCTATATACCTGTCTATATTTTTTTGTTCAATATTCCTATATATATGTTTTGTGTAAATTAAATACAAACACACACAAATATATATATATATATATATATATATATATATATATATATACACACACACAATATATATAAAATTTAGCATTTTTATAAAAATTTTTACTAAATAACACCTCAATTCAACTTTTTTAATAATTATTTGGATGATTTCGGTTTCTCGTTTTTTGAACATGAGAACTCTTTTTTGTAAAAATGAATCATTTTTAAACAAAAAAATATTATAATAAAGCTCTATTTATGTATGTTCACTATTTTCTTAAAAAAATAAAAAAAAAAAATATATAAGGAACTCCGGATTATGCACCCAATTATGTTTTTTTCTATTTTTTTATATATATATATATATATATATATATATATATATATATATATATAATGTAGAGAATTAGAGACATATTAATGGATAGCAATTTTATATTGAGGAATCATAGAGCCAAATTTGAGTTCCAGTCAAATCCATTACATTCAATTATATGCTAATACCCTATGGGTAAATAGCAGGACAGACTGGGTTCTATAGCCTTGGATGGCAACTTAGAGTGGAGAAGGACAACTCTGAATTCAAAACCTGGGAGGGGAAATTTGAGGACCTTGTGGCCTGTAGTGCACCAGGTCTCTGTATTCAGCCCTTCAAAAAGTGTGGATGGTTTATCACATTTCATCAAATCATTTTGTATTGTCATTCCTATTAGACCCTCAATGTCCTAAAAAAAAATGACCAGAAAATCTAGTGTGTTTGTATGAAGCCATATATATATATATATATATACACATATACACACACATAACTCAAAAATATGTGGCTGATCCTGCTAAAAATTTAATAATATAAACCAAAAAAAATATTTTAGTTGTTTATTTGTTTGTTTCCTGGGAACTGATCTTTAACCCTCATATTTATTCATTTATAAATTATTTTTTATATATATATATATATATATATATATATATATATATATGTATTTGCATATATATATATATATAACTATAAAAAATATTACTAAGACCGATAATTAATTCAATATATTTAATGTTTATACATTATTTTTATAGACAGAAAATATATATATAAATTATTTATAATAATACATTAATTAACAACATTTACTTTAAAAGTTTTAATGTCAGGAATTTCATTTAAAATTTGTAATATTGACAAATCTAATTTATCCTAAAAAAAAAATCATATAATTATGATGTGTATAAAAAGTTTAAATACAAATATGGTGTTCAAAGAGAAATCATTATTAAATTTGTAGTTTAAAAACAGTAATTTGACCTTGCTAACCAGACAATTCCTTTGTAAATATCTAAATGGTATAGCACATCAGGCTGTGATAAAAAAGATGTAAATACAGGTTTGATTCCATATTTTTGTATGAAAAAAATGGTACATTCAATTCAAATTAAATGTTGTTAATAATGTTTTTTATATAAAAACAATGATTTATTGTACATTAAATTTATTCATTATAAGAAATAATTATAATTGAATCTATATATATATATATATATATATATATATATATATATATATACACATTTAAAAAATCATCAATAAGTTCAAATAAAATTCTCGCTTAAAATTTTGAAAAAATTTAGCGTTGCATCTTTGCATCATTCCGATATTGTATTACAAACCGTCAATAATAGCACATTCTCAAAAAAACATCTTTCGGTCTACAAACAATTATTTCGTCTCCAAGTTTTTGATTTTATAAGGAAAACATATGCCTGATGATGAATAAAGGATTATTCGAAAGTACTTGCATTTTAAAAAAATATAAACTGAAAAAAGACAACAGTTTTATAAATAAGGATTACATCATTCTATGGATTAACAGTATTTTAATGCATACATTATACACTACTAGTGATGGATGTCGCCAATAATAAAATTAATATTGCTGATTGATTCTATATGTGATTATTTCTTTGTATATAAATTATATGTTGCCTATGTTTTATATATATATATATATATATATATATATATATATATATATATATATATATATTATATATTCTTCATTCAAAATTTTTGCCTCCCCTCTTTTCTGTTCTCACTTTTTTTTACTTCTCCTCTTCTTCATCCTCTCTTCTTTTATTTGCCTCCCCTCTTCCCTGTTCTGTTTTCTTCCCCTTCCTTGTCTTGATTCTCTTTTCTTTTTCTTTTTTCACATCCCCCTCCTTCTGATTCTATTATTTCGCCTCCCCTAGTCCAAATACTTTTCTTTTACTCCCTTGTTTTCACTCCTTTTCCGTTTTTCTTTCTCTCCTTATGTTTAATTCTCTTCTTTTTTTCTTCCACTTCCACATCTATTCATTACCCCACCACCACCAACAAATTTTCATCACCCCTTTTCAACTTCTTGAGTCTGAACATGCAGTTCTGTTGATATAAATTTTTAAAATATAAGTTTCACTTCCTGTGAAAAAATAATTCATATATTTATACTCATCTTCTGTGACCTCTCTTATCCCTGCCCCCCCCCCGCTCTGCTATCTCTCTCCTAGAAAAATATTCCTCTCTGTTTTTTGTTTCTTTTGTTTTTCCTCAATTTAAAAATCAAATGGGTTAATGATGGCGATATTTATTTAGGATTATAAAATACCAATCTTATAATTTGTTAGAAACTGTTTTTGATATTTAATTAAGATCACATTATCAGTTATAATTAATCTACTGTTCTAAAAATTTTAGATAAATAAACACAAATTTAATTCAAATATATTTAACTAATATAAAAATATATATATATATATATATATATATATATATATATATATATAATATAAAATAATTAAAAATATTAAAAATTTTTTTTCAGACACACATTGGGTTATATATTAATTTTTTTTTTTTTTTGTTTTATTATTTCAGTTAGGTTCCTCAACTAGTTTTGGCCAGCATGGCCATCATCAGGAGAAAAAAATCCCTGCTTGTTAGTAGCAGTGAACTAAAGGAGTGAATGACTGCCTCTTAAGAAAGTGAACTTTATCAGTAGTTTTCATTTGTTTTTTTTGTTTTTCATTGTTAATTTTGATCAGTTTTTGTATTGGTTAAAAGGCCTCTTTTAATTTGTTTTTAAAATATAGGCAGGGAGATTCCTGAATCTCAGAATTCCCTCTTTGGTCATTTTGACAGTTTTATTGGTTGCTGGGAAGGGGATGGATGTGTGTGTGATAAGTGCATGTTATCTTTTAGTTTTTTGGGGAGTGTGATGTGTGTATGTGTATATGCTTGTGTATAAGTGTGTGTATATGTTTGAAACCTCAACACTTCTGCAAGCCTGTCTGTCTTGTGTGGGTGAGAAATGTGGCTAGGGATATTATATACTAGCAGTAGAGCCCAGCGTTGCCCGGGGATGTAACAGTAAGAGATAGATCAAGTATCGACCATCATAAAGACTAAAAAATAAAATTGACAAAGATTATTGTTTAAGGTTGACGGACACACATGTCTTAATTAGTTTTTTTGTTTTTTTTTTTTTGTGGGGGGTTACGAATTGGTCAAACCCAAACTCAAACAAAACCATTGTTTTCAATCGTTATGAGTCTACCAATTGAATAGAATTTTATTATAAACAATTGTCTGGTAAATGGAATTTTAAAGCATTCTGAATGTAAAAATAAAGAAAAAAGTGTGTAAGACAATAAGAAACACTACCTGCCAAAAAAAGTGAAGTTTTGTTGAAATTGGTTGAAAAATGTAGGAAATCTGATCCCATATATAAATGAATACACACACACAAACAACCTGGGTTTTATAATAAGTATAACTCGATATGACTTCTCCCCGTTTCATTCTCATGATGCCTCTTAATCGTGTTTTCAAATTGATTTCATTGTGCAAAAACAATTGTGTTTTTTCCAATTTTTGGCACTGTCAGAACCACCACAAAAGGTAATTTTATGTAGTCCTGTGAAGTTTTGTTGAAATCGGTTGAAAAAATGTAGGAAATCAGATCCAATATATAAACGTACAGACACACACACACACACAACCTGGGTTTTTATAATAATATGTATGAACTCCCATTCTCCACCCCTTCTAAATTCATTAATTAGTAGGACTTGTATCAGTAAATGATTATCCCCCCAAAATTCTTACAATCTATAATATATATATAACCTGTAAAAGTGTTGATTTCCATGCCTACACTGTTTATAACGAAACCTTGAAACTGAGACTAAGACACCAAGAGGCAAAAATAAGAACCATTTGGCATTCCCAAAGCTAAGCAAAGTATTAAGAAACAGGAAAATTTAATTAGAAACAAAGAGTACTGAACTGTTATGTAATATCAGTTGTTCTATATAGCAGTCAATGCTGGACAATTTCCTCTCAGATAATGAGAACATCTGAGGTAACAGAAATGTGGCTCCACAGAAGGATGCTGAGAATATCATGGATGGAGCATGTGAGCAATGAGGAAGTTCTAAGGGAAATGGTAACAAAAAGGATGCACATTTAGAACCAGAAAGAGGTAGCTGAAAGTTTGAGAACCTGTAATGAGAAAAGGAGGCTTGGAAAATTTAACACTCACAGGATATATTGAAAGCAAGAGCACCATGAGGGGAACAGTTGCCTACATGAGCTTGTGTAAATAGATATCAGAACAAAGAATAGCAGAAAAATTAATGTTGCTAAGGGCTGCAAAGGATAGGAAGTTGTGGAGTGCTATGATCGCATATAGAAGAAGGGAACCAATCCCATCTTAGTAAGATACAAAGTACACTATTTACATTGTTCGAACTATCCTCCTCATCTTTGTTACCATATTTTTCAAAATGTTTGGTTATGTTATGCAATCCGGAAATTCTTCAGGTGTAACTGGAATGTTGAACTGAACCCTTTATTTTAATTTTTGAGGGGGTAGACTGTTCTGACATTCACTAGACGTGGAACACGAAACTAGAACAGTCTACCCCAGTGAGTGGAATAAATGGTTCAGTTCAACATTGTAACCACCTGAAGAAGGCCGGATCATACAACAGCCAAAACGTTGTAATAAATATGGCAACAAAATGAGGATGATAGTCCGAATAATGTAAATAGTGTACATAATACCTCATCTCAGAAATATAGACAGATACTGAAAGGCCGAAATGTTGTAATAAATATGGCAACAAAGATGAGGACAATAGTCCAAATAATGTAAATAGTGTACATAATACCTCATCTCAGAAATATAGGCAGATACTGAAAGGCCAAAATTGTAATAAATATTATTTAACAAAGATGAGGACGATAGTCCGAATAATGTAAATAGTATACATAATACCTCATCTCAGAAATATAGACAGATACTGAAAGGCTGAAACGTAATAAATATGGCAACAAAGATGAGGACGATAGTCCAAATAATGTAAATAGTGTACATAATACCTCATCTCAGAAATATAGATAGATACTGAAGAGACAATGTGTTCAATAAAGTATCAGAGAAAATAGAAAGAATTTTATAGTAGAAAGATATATTGAAGGCAAGAAAAGCAGGTAAGTGGGTGGAAGTCGTAGAGAACTGTGATTGTTCATGGCCTTAAAGAATATGGTGCATAAAATAATAGCTTGGGAGTACAATTTGTTGAATACAGATGAGGCTGGTGCAGACATTGCCCTGAGCTATGTGATGAAAGGCCTCGATGATCTATTTGATCATCAGATAATTTGATTTGATACCTTGGCGAATTACAGAGGTTTAATTGCGGCTTTATTATTTTGATTGCAAATGATGTTCAAGTAGCCTAAATCCCCCCCCTGCACCCCTAAGGCAAACGTTTGCCTCCCTCCCACGGCTGGACACCCAATGAAATTGTGCCATTTTACTCTCTTCTAATTGACCAGATAAGCATCTCTCGCGTTGGTCAATGAAATAGGCTCTGAGGTCATTGTTTGGTCCGGCTCGTCTGCACACGTGTTTGTGAATCTGAGGTGGGGGAGAGAGGGTGCGAGTTGCTTGGGAATTTGTTCTGTTTGCATAATTTAAATCTTTGGTGCCATTACACCCCCCCCAAACACACACATTGGCTTAGAGGCTGGGTGTGTGTGTGTGTGGGGGGGTACTAATAATGTGGGGTATATATATCCCTGCCTGACTGTATTTATGCAGACATTTGAAAATGTATCCCTCTCTCAACGTACATGTTGGCCCATGCGCATATCCTTATTGAAAGACTCATTCATGTTAGTGATTGACTATTGAACCTTTAGACGCATGCGTTTATATTAGACAAGGAAGGCTTTTGTATATCATGTAAGAGATAAGGCATCTTTTTGTGAGCACACAAGCTCATTTATATTTGAATTGTTGTTTTTTCTGTATTTTCTGTTTTCCCCCCTTTTTTCTGTCCCCCTTTCCTGTTCCCACCTTTTTCTCCCCCTTCTGTTCCCCCCTTTTTTGAAATTCCCCCCCTTTTTCTGTTTCTCCCCCTTTTTTCTGTTTTTTCTCCTTTTTTTCTGTTTTTTTTTCTGTTTTTTTTTCTCTCCTTTTTTCTGTTTTTTCCCCTTTTTTCTGTTTTTCCCTTTTTTGCCCCCTCTGTCACCTCTTTTTCTGTTTCCTTTTGTTCTGTTTTTTTCCTGTTTTTTTTTGTTTTTTCTTTTTTTTTTTTTTTTTTTTTCTTTTTTTCCCTTTTTCTTTTTTTTTTCTTTTTTTTTTTTTTTTTTTTTCCCCTTTTTCCCTTTTCTTTTTTTTTCCCTTTTTTCTGTTCCCCCCCCTTTTTCCCCATTTTTCTCTTTTTTTCCCCATTTTTCTCTCCCATCCTGTTCTCTCAACACCCGTTTTTCTTACAACACCCGTTTTCTTACCCCTCCCCGTTTTTTTTCTGTTTTTTTTGTTTTTTTTTTTAACCTTTGTTTCCTGTAGTTTGAATTTCCTCCAGGGTCTCAACCTGAAACTTCAAGAGACAAGTTTTTTGTCTCAAAAGATACAAACAGATGCCGTGCCATGCAATCAGGGGAACAAATGAAATTGTTGTTACTGAATAGAGAGAATTATTGTAATAAATATTATTAGTATTATTAGTACTAATAAATATTAGTATTAACAAACAGAATGATTGGTGTAATAAGTCTTCTGATATTTTTCAACAGTTAAAAGGAGAATATGATAATGAAAGCAACAGTTGTATAAAGACTTATCATTTTTTTGTCGATTCATACATTTTTATACTTGAAAAAATGTTTAAATATAACTTGAAGAAGACACATGCTATTCTCTTAACTGTTATTAGTATTAGTATTATTAGTATTGTTAGTAGTGGTATTATTAGTATTATTAGTATTGTTAGTAGTGGTATTATTAGTATTATTATTAGTATTGTTAGTAGTGGTATTATTAGTATTGTTAGTAGTGGTATTATTAGTAGTGGTATTAGTATTATTATAAAATTATTTATAATGAAATTTGACCTGGATTTGTTTTATAATATATGCTGAGTCATGACCAAATGCAAGCGAAGCATGTGATATTTTTCTTGTTTCCACTGAATTATGCAAAAGACTGATTAGCTAAAAAAAAAAAAAATTTAAATGTTCAAAGCTCTCTGCAGGCATGGCCTGTGCTTGTTAGAACTATTTAATTCTTGATGGGGGATTTACTGGACAGATGTTGCACCAGGGATTTTGTTGTTGAGTTCCTTTCTTTATCACACCCAAAGCTCCAACCACAACAGGAACAGTTTCAAAGTGCAAGGTTTTTTTTTTTATTTGTATCTCCTTAGTTTATTTAAAAAAAAAAATAGTTCTTGGTCATGCTACGAACTTTTCAGTACACTTTTGTGTGTGTGTGTGTACACACTTATATATAAGTTTAAAATTTTTATGTGACAATGGATAGCAGTTCAAATTGAATAATCAGAGCTGAGATCAAGTTCCAGTTGAATTTGTTACATTTACTTACCCTTGGGAAAGGTATGAATTCACCTTCCCCCTCCCCACCCCAGCTTAATTATTAAGATTTATCGTTAAACCATTATTATCTCAAAAAAAAAAAAAATTCTTGCAATCTAAAAATACTTTCTGGCTTTAAATAACCTGCAAAGAGTTGATAAGCCATAAAAATGAATTAATCCACATTCTTCACCTGTGAGGTGATTGTTCAGTGTCATAGACATTAGATGTTGTATAACAGTTCAGCACTCTTTGTTTCTGACAGTTTTATCTTTTAATACTTTGCTTAGTTTCTGGAAAACCTTTTACAATTTCTAAGACTCTTTTAGATGATAGCTGCCTGATTGTTCACAACAGTTTTCATTGTATTTCCTCCTCTTCTTAAAGTTTGTCCGTTACTCAAATATTCTGTCCATCATATTTACTGTATTCATTAAACTCATAAATTATGTGGGTTTTTCTCTGCTTGGCAGAGTGACTACTGCAGAGGTTCCCTTTCCATTTGCTAGGATTTTCAACCAGATGACTGCGTCGTGTAAAGGGGCTTTAGAATGGGTCAGCCAAAATACCGTGAAGGGTTGAAAACTTCTCTGCTCAACCAAGACACACTTTAAAAATAATTCTAATCTTTGGTCATTTCATTAAAGATTGGGAAGTGTGCTTGGCCAAGAATCTTTTCAGCGCCCCTTGTAAAATGCTATTAAAATATTGAAAAACAATGTAACCTTCTCCTCTGCCTACAAAATAAATAAAAACTTTTTTAAAAATCTTTTCAGATATATCTTGTCACTCACCCCACCCACCCTGCCAGAAAGGTAGAGAAATGACGGAGGTGGGGAGAAAGCCAATTGACAAGCCAAGGAACACACCTTTAGGTGAACTAGGAGACAAAAGGCCTTAGATTAAATAATATATGCATTACTGATGAGTCAGCAATGGGGGAGGGTCATAGAAAGAGCAAAGTGGAGAGAAAAAGGGTTGGAAATAGAAAGGGCAAAATGGAGAGAAAAAGAATTGAAAATAGAGAAAGAAAAGAAAGAATTGAAAAGCGAGAGAGAGAAAGAAAATTTTGGAAAAAGAGATTTTAAGAAATAATTGAATTTTAGAGAAAGAAAGAATGAATTGGAAGAATTGAGAGAGAGAGAAAAATGAAATGAAAATTAGAGAGAGAGAGAAAGTTGAATAAGTTCTAAAAGAGAGAGAGAGAGAAAGAAAGAATTGGAGAAACATAAGAGAGAAAGAAAGAATTGGAAAGAGAGAGAAACTAAGAATTGTCAAGAGAGAGAGAAAGAAAGAGAATTTATAAAACCTGAGAAAGAAAGAGAATTCCGCATTTTATTAAAGAAATGAGAATTGGTTTCTTAAAGAGATGAAAGAAAGCATGACATGAATGAGAGAGAGAAAGAAAGAAATTGGATTGAGAGAGAGAAAGAAAAAAAGAGAATTGAAAAAGAAATGAAAAGAAAAGAAAAAAAAATTGGAAAGAAGAAAGAAAGAAAAAAAAAAAAGAATTGGAAAGAGAGAGAGAAAGAAAAAATTGAAAAAAGAGAGAGAAGAAAGAAAAAAGAAAGAAAGAAAAAAGAGAAAAGAAAGAGAAAAAAAAAGAATTGAAAAGAGAAAAAGAAAGAAAAAGAAATTGGAAAATGAAAAAAAAGAAATTAGAAAAAGAATTGAAAAAAGAAAAGAAAGAAAGAAAGAAATCTTGGAAAAAAAATTCTTGAAAAAAGAAAGAAAGAAAAGAGAAAAAAGAAAGAATTGGAAAGAGAAAGAAAGAAAGAAAAAAAAAGAAAAAAGAAAGAAAATAAAAGAGAGATTGAGAAAAGAAGAAAATGGAAATCCAAAAAAAAGAAATGAAAAAAGAAAGAAAGAAAGAAAAAAGAAATTTTTATTTTCATAAAGAAAGAAAGAAAATGAAAGAAAGAAAGACAAAAAAAGAAATTTCTGAAAAGAAAAGAATTGCCTTAGAGAAAAAGAAGAAATTAATTAGACTCAAAGAGAAAATTTTGCAATCTGTGAAAAAGAAAAATAAAGAAATGTTCTCAAATGCTGAGAGAAAAGAATTAGAAAGAAAGAAAGAAAACAAGATTCTTTTGAAAAGAAAAATTTAAAAGAAAGAAAAAAGAAAGAAAAATTGGAAAGAAAAATCAGAAAAGAAAAAATAACAAGAAAGAAATAGAAAGAGAGAAAATTTTAAAGAAAAAACGGAAAGAATTTAAGAAAGAAAAAAAAATTTTAAAGAGAGAGAGAAAGAAAAAGAATTGGAAAGAGAGAGAGAGAAAGAAAGAATTGGAAAAAGTTTCCATTTTGTAGAGATAAGAAAAAAAGAATTCAGAGAAAGAAAAAATGGTTGAAAGAAAGATAGATACTAAAAGAGATCCTATAAGAAAATTAATAAATGATTGGAAAAGAGAAAAAGAAAGAAAGAATTACAATGAAGAATTCAAAGAAAGAAAAGAAAGAAAAAAAAAAAATTGGAAAGAGAAAAAGATTAAAAGAAAGATATAATGTACCAAGGAAACTGAAACTACCACACAAGTAAAAGTATGACCCAAAGAAAAGTTTTCTGAAGACTTTTAAGAGTAGGGTGATGGTTAAAGAGCAGAAACAGGTAGACAAGTGGGTATGCAGGGTTTTGTATATTTGTCAAAATGATCTGGAAGTAAAATATTTTTCAACCTGAACACTAAGGTAATACCAGTTACATGTTTGTACAAGTAATCGGTATGACTTCTAAAACGGCTGTCCATGAAATCAATGAATCCTGCGACCCCCTCTCCACACCCACAAGAAAGCAATGATGGAGATGAGCCAAAAGATGGTGGCCATGGGAGTGAAGGGGTTGTCGTGTGCTGGTAGACTGCTAACTGTATCTAACATCTGAAACCCAAATATGATTGGAGTTAGCCGATACAGAGTTCAAAATTCAGAATGGGCCGGTTAAATGCATTGAGCAAATTCACAATACACATACACGTGAGTAGAGTCGTCTGAGAGAAAGGGTAATTATGTCGTTCAAAAAGTCTTAGACTGTGGGGGAAATTCAGGATTTCAAAAAATGCTTCCCATAAGGGTTCTTGCTAATGTTCTTTTGTACCAAAAGTTTATTAGCATACATAAACAAATGTAGACATTTTTTTTTTTTCCTTTCTTTGATCTATTTATTTTTAAATTTTCCCCCCATAAAAAAGCCATCATTCAATCTTAGGATCTTTTCTGTTAATTCGCCCCCAAGTAATGTAAAGTTACTTATCACAAATTGACATATTTGAGTAGACATCCAGGCTGTGAAATTAATGGCAGCCGACCTAATAGGGTTTTTTGATCTCTAGGCCAGTTAGCATTAATTTGGAATCTTTTTTGTTAATTCATCCCAAATAATGTAAAGTTACTTATCGCAAATATTAATTCACCCCAGGAAATTACAATTTTTAAATCAAAGTTTGTTTGTATTTTTATGAATTTTTTGTCACTCTTTTTGAGATTATAAATTTTAAAACAAAATTTGTTTAGCTTGCCTCGCAACAACTCCAACCTTCAGAATGAAAAATTGCCAAAAATCTGGAAGTTATTCATATTTCGTGAGTGTGAATGATATTCGAGGTACTTACAAGGAATTTTTTAAAATTTATAAAAGAAAAAAAAACTGTTTTTTGCTTGTTTGTTGAGGTGAGCACAAACACAGCACCCCCCCTCTTAGAAATACCACTCAAGTAAATCACATTTGGGTTGATTGCAAAGGTCAATTGAAATGGAGTGCAATGGAAGGGCCTTGCTCAGAGAATTTGGTGTGAATTTTAGTAAATATAAATTCCTTTTATTTTGGGGTGAATTAACAGAAAAGATCCCAATCCTAACATTAACTTCTGATAAAAGTTTTAGACTACTCTCTAAAGTCCGCATAATCAGTGTAAATAAACAAATTTAGACATTTTTTTTTTCTATTCTTTTGACTAGTCTGTTCTTTTCTTATATTTATTTTTAATTTTCCCAGATCATAAAAAAATCATTCTGTGAACAATCTTAATATATTCTTCTGTGTGCCGTGTCACTTCAGGGCTTTCCACAATTTCCTGTCATTTGTAGCTCTTAATAACTTTTGTCTATTTGCCATCTCTTCGAAACTCATTTCTGCTATCCATTCATTCAAGCTTTCTTCTGTTTCTCTTACCTTCAATCTGTTTTGTAAGTATCAGATTTTCCAAGCCCTCTTTCCCCATTATGTGCGTTAGTTCTGTTTCATCTTCAAGCGAATTTTGGAAGAATTCACTTGAAGATGAAAGAGAACTAATGCTTTTAATTTAATATGATTGTATTTGAAGTTTTTGTTTTCTGTTTTTGAAACATGGTAATTCCTGTGTAGCGATGAAACCATACTTTTTTAAATCAGTTAATTTACAGTATTTATACTCTTTAAATTTACATTGAGCACTGTTTTGTAAAAATATCAATAAGAACACTGGATTACATATCTTACTGTTCTTCCCTTTTTTTTTTTTTTTTTTTTTTTTTATAATATATATATATATATATATATATATATATATATATATATATATATATAATCCATGGGCATGTGGCCAAGTAGTTAGAATGTTTGCATTCTGACTCTGACCATGGACCTGAGTTCAATCTCACCATGGTTGATTTGCCAGGGAGGAGACTTCCTCATGTTGTTGAACTGGAGGGGTCAATCCCAGTGTGCGGCACCTTTGGAAAGTTCCTGAAAACTGCACCATGGGTTGACCCAAGCCTTGTGAGTGAAATTGGGTAGACGGAGCCCTTGGGAGCTATCGATAGCTGTGCTAGTACAAAGTCACAAGTCATCGTGTCCGAGGGCTTGAGCATGCTGGCCTTGTTCAAATTGTTGATCACGCTAGATAACACGCTCTTTCTCAGAAACTGCAACTAAGGTCTGTTCAGCATAGTCACAGTATAAACCACAGGTGGGCTCTGTGGGTGGTGAATAAACATGAATGCGCCTGAGCAAGCACCTGCAATAGAGATTGGCTAGCTGCCCTAGTAGATGGTATCCAGCTATACATATTTTTAATCCTTCATATAGTATTTAAGGCTTGAATTTATTACCTATTCTCTTCAGGATGTGAGTGATTATGGCTCTCCACAATTTCCTATCTTTTGTAGCTTTTAGTAAGATTTGTCTTTTTACTATCTCTTCTAATCTTGATTCTGCAAACCACTTCCTTAGGTAGATTATTCGTTACGTTCCTCATCTTTTTTTTATGTCCC